GCTTTCGGGCGCTGCGCTGCGCTCCTGCTCGGCCGCTGGCGTCGGTCTCCGCAAGCGGTCGCTTCCCGGCAGCGACGCGCAGCTGGACCCCTGGCTGGGCTTCCAAACGCGGTGGCCAACTTTTTTTGGGGGGGGAGGCTGCTGTGCTTCTGCTGGCCGCAGAAGAAGGAAAGTTTCTTCGCCCCCCTGGGCAGGCGTGCACGCGCACCGTATCAGGGCACAGGCGTGCCAGAGATATATTTTTTAAACGGACAAAAAGACAAACCCAGCGATTTTCGATCCGAGGACAAGGCACGGGAGCCTGGCCAGCCTTGGCAATAAGACTTGGCAACCTCGAGCTAGGAAGGGCCGTGCATTTGAATATTGGATATTAATCAACGTATATTGAAAGTTTGTGCGTTTAAAATAAAGGCATATTTAAGTATTATATATAAGTCAATGTATATTTAAATATTATACAGTTAAAATACATTTACATTTAAATATATATAGATGGAGTGTATTGAAATATTGTGCATGTAAAATAAATTTACATTTAAATATTATATATAAATAAAGTGTATTGTCTTTAAAGAGGCAAAGCGTCTGCTCCCCATGACTTTATGGCTGCACCCCTGTGGTGTTCTTGGCCACAGAGATGGTTTCCCACAGCCTTTAGTGGGGACATTTTTCAAGCCTGCCAATAACCCTGGGATCTCCTGGTGGTGTCCCATCCATGTTCTATCCGGTTCCAACCCTACTTAGCTGTTGAAGGTCAGCTTAGATGCTACTGCCTGTCATTGGAAAAGTGATATTATTCCAGATGTCAAGGAATGGTTGTTACAGATGGGTGCTCTATGTTTTGATAAAGGCAACATTTTCGACCAATAAAAGGATACAGCAGCATGTGTTATTATAGCAGAGATTCTGTGACATCTTTCAAGAATATCTTGAATTGTTCATCTTAGTGTAGTGAACTCACTGGTAAACCAGTGACTCTTGATAAGTATAAGATAGAATTTTTTTTCTTTCCTTCTTACTTTGTATTTTTTAAGTTTCTTTTTTTTTTAAGATTGAAGATTGTTTTGTTACAAAAAATAAAGATATTAAATTTTAAAAAAACAGATGATGCTGCCTGTGGTGAAAATTTACAGAATGCCTAAAAATAAATGTGAAGCGTTGGGGAGAAAGGTTAATCCTGACAAGAAAGACCCCCAAATTGAAAATTAGAGGGGGAGGGGTCCCTTGAAAGAGTGGCTTGTTGAAGGCCAGGTTTGCCACATCCACAGGTAATATTTGCATCAGGGACCCCCATCATTTTCCTTCTCTCCATACCTGTCAAGGATCCTTAGAGCAAAGGCCTCCAGTTTATACCCCAATC